CACTTGCACGCTATTAAAGGAAATGACAATAAAAGGGCGGATCGGCGAGATGCTCGATTCGCAAAGCGACGCGGATATTTGTACGCGACGGATATTCCGAAGGATCGTGCGCGACGAATAGGCAGCTGGCACGGTGAGTTTCGAGTAACACCGTGAGCCCGCCCGTCGGCGACGACGATATTGATGGAAACGTATTAAATGCCCGGAGGCGTTTCTCGCCGCGAATAATTCGAGCGTCGCGTTTCGAACCGAGTCGTCGAGCGAGTGCTGTAATTACGGCGAGCACGCTAGTCAAAACACCAAGCCGCCGCGCGGCAACTGGAAACCGTACGACTTGGAAAAATAACGAAACCATAACAAAAGGGAACTACCGTGAGAGATTGCCGACTGCGAGTGTCGCCGGTGGTTTCAGTATTAAACCGCGAATCTCCGATCGTTCACAACATCTCCCGAGACGCCTTGGCAATTTCATCGCGATTAGCATCGCGTCCTGAATTCGTTTCAATTTCATCGCCGGTTAACTGTTACGTTTATACTGTTTCATGATACCGCGCTACATGAAATTTCATTTCGAACCTCCGTTAACAACTCATGATGAATCGGCGATGAATGTTTGCGCATTTTTGAGGAATTTCAAACAGCGTTTACAAACGTGTTTCAAGCAGTTTTTAGATTCTGTTTCTTTATAGTTCGAGGATACATTTTTCCTTTTTTTTTTTTCAAGGTACAATTCATTTTTTCATTCCACTGTATATTTGGAAATTGAAACGATCCCTTAAAACTTGCTCCGCTCGGTCCTGTTTGTCTTGAACGTTGCGAAATCCGCCTCATGACGTTCGAGGCGCTGTAATTAATTCTCATTCGACACCCGGCGTCACCGAAATCACTTCACGTTCGTATGAAAATCACTCTCGTTTATTTGCGAAAAAATAATACAACCAGCTCGATGTTGTATCCTCCACCAATTCATAACGATACGATGGATTGAGCTTTTAAAGAAACATCTCGCGAATGATGCCAAGTGAAACACCTCGTTGCTCGTAGTAGTAACGCCAGCTTCTGTTTGCGGTAAACTCTTGGACACGACAAAGGAAATCGGTAAGAAAAGGAAACGCAGACGATCGATTTTTTTTTTTTTTTTTTTTTCCCTCGCTGAGAAAAGGTAGGCCGCTCGCGGTGGACAAGCTACTCGCCGCGAGAACTCTGGACTCAGCTTGGCGGGATCTGAAATTAGAATCGCGCCGCCGACCCACTTTGACCGCGTTGCTTTGATTCGGACCCAATTTAAAATGGCTGCCTGGCCGGGATACAGAGAGAAATCCAGCCACTCCGGAAATGCACCGGAACGAAAGCCTCTTCGAACGAGGCCCCTCTCTCTCTCTCCGTTTGCCATGGCGCATTGGTTATTAGAGAATCCGCCGGTAACGAGAGTCAGGCGTGTGCAACGGTCGTTACAGGCCTCTACTACGCGAAGCAGAGGCAAAGAACCTGGAAGGGCTGCAGTTGTTATTATTATTCCGCCGCGGTCCGCCAGGCATAATGGAAAACCCGCCGCGGCGTTTTCATTGAACGTGTTCGTCGCGTTCGGCCGAGAAGTCCGGCGTTTTTCCCCGACGTCGTGGGGAATAATGCCGGCCTCGGGGCAAAGGAGAGGATTTCTTCAGCGCGCGGCCTAACGAAACCACGAGGCCGTGGAAGCCCCTCGTGGTTCCATGGTCTTGACCGTTCTTCTTTTTCCACTCTTTCTCTTTTTTTACTTTACTTTGTTATTATTCAGTTGATCTTGCCGCGGCTTGCGGACTGAATGGAATTACGGAGCGGAATGACTCGGCAACGGGTGATGGGGGAGAGGAATGAGTTGCATTGTCGAGTGCAAACGAGATTCGTTGAATTAAACGCGGCAAGGTGGATCCTGGTTGAACCGATGGAACGAAGTTCAATGGGTGTCTGTTGATGAGGTCTGTCGAGCGAACGAGCTGGCGATGCGGTGGATCCTGTGAAGGGAAATTGAAAAGTGTGTGGATACGATTTTCACGGAATCTGTGACGTGTATTAATACGATTCCTTCGTGAGATATAAAAGATTATTAAAGAATAATCGTGGGAGCTTCGGAAACAACGTGCGTGTGTGTGTGTTAAAGACAGTCGCCGACGTGGCAAGTGAATAACTATGATGAAATTTTGCCAAATCTATAATTTATTACTAACTTATTTAACTAACTTTTGCCGCTGTGCTACATACTGTAGGAAATGTAGTGAAAATATAATACAAACTTCTGTGTGAAAAAGAAACGAATGTCTTTATTTAATGAAATGTTGATAATCAAATAGTGTATGCGATACAAATGAGGTAGTCACGCGGCAAGGACCGGCAAAGAACTAAACCTTCTGTTCGGCATGGTCCTGTCCGTAACTGTAGAGAATAGTGTGAAGAGGATAGAAAACAGATGTTAACCTTTGCCCCTCATAAAGCCATTTTCCAGCCTTACACTGCTGGATGGTCGAGTCGTTGTATTCCAACACATACTGATTATAAAAACTGTTAATTCGTTAAATACTAAAAACTGTGTAATTGAATGGTGATTATTATAACTGCTAATGTAAAAAAACTATAATTGTCTAGACTTCCTCAAAGTCCTCTTTTTTGCCGAACCTTTGACTCCCCTTGTCAATGAATTTTCCAAGTGGTCAAATTCCTAATTTGCACGCCATGTCGCGAATGATACGTACTCTTGGCCTCGACAGTGTGAATTTTTCGTTCCCCCGTGTGTGTCAAGCGTGGAGCTGCGAGCATCGACGCGTTCTGACCTCTCGAGAAAAGGCAGAATATCGTTAAAGGCAAAGAGAGAAAGGCCGCACGCCAGTTCGCTTTAAGGAATCGTATAGGGTAGGTTCTCTTTTGGAACGGAATACCCGGAACTATCGATTTCGAGTCAAAGCGTTGCGTTTCCACGGTGGGGGGAGGGAGGGCCTATTGAAAATCAACGTTCAAGATTATCGAGTAACAACGACTTTGAAAGCTGATACACTTCTGAAACGCTCGAACAGAGAGCAACGACACCGAGTGCAAGTCCAATTGTTCGTTACACGCCGCGCACGTGTACGAAGCTAAATAACCCGTTCCCTTAACTGCTTTCTCGTAAGAAAGAAAAAGAAAGACGTGGAGTTTTCGAACTTGGAAATTGCTCTCACATTTCTCTGCGACAGAATTGTGCATGTCAATTTATAAGATCAATTTCAGGATTATTACATCTTAGACAGTTGGCATTGTTAGCTGAGAGTCAAGACAGACTCTGAAGATGATCAATCCTCGAGTAGACAATTTGGATAATTTAAACTATTTTAACAAATTAAGAATACATTCGTCTTTCGGCATATTGCAATATTATGTATTTATCCTCTTTGAACCATTGACAAGAAATATTTCAAATTTAAACGCTCGAAGCGTTGTGTTCAAATTAATAATTAACGATTCGTGTGCCTCGTTTATGTTTCTAAAGCTGCGCGAGAAACCTCTGCTAAAACTGCTGAAACCAGAATCAAAACTCCACTCCGAGATAACCAGAAAGAAAAATTATCGCGGATACGTTGTTTCTCGAAGCTTTCGCCAGCCAGATTCTTCCAGATAGTTTCAGCGGCTGGGGTTTCCGACGATAAAAAATGATCAGCCGTACGTGCGAATAGCCGCTGTCGAAGATCGCGCAATTTAAAACACGTATCGCTCGTAGGGCGGCGAGAAGCACGGCTCTCGGAAAAGTTTATTAAAACTCCGGTAGGATTTCGTGCGGAAGTTTCGTCCTGGAACTTCGAGACACGTAGCTGGAAACGGGAAGTTGAAAAGTGGCCGCTTTAAGAATTCTCTTTCAACCGGGCGTGGATTTGCCCCGCCGCGAAATTCATTACGCGTCAAAATTTCCCACGGACCGGTGGCCATCGCTATCGTCGTTCGCAACTTTCCTCCTAATCGTTCTTTGGATATTCCTCCTGTCCACTCTCGTTCCACGCGAATATTGGAAACGTTCGTAGATCGCCATTTCCAAGAATTTGAAGAATCGATATGTTTAGTTTATTGATTAGAATATGCAATATTCATGGTCATCAATCCTTGGAATCTTTAATCTTTAATCTTGTTGATCCTCTGTCTTTGTGTCTCTTTTTGAATCGTGCAAATTTGTTTCTTCAGCTTCGTTTTTTTTCTTTTTTTTTTTTTTTTTTTCTTTTTTTTTTTTTTTTGTTCCTTTCTCCGTTAACTGTATCATACTCTTTGACAGATTTTGTATTTTTGCACAAATTAGGTACAGTTGGATATTTCAGATCGTTTAAGAAACAAGACCAGTACATGAGAGTTCAACCATTTATAGTTTGCCCTAAAACAACGAGGTGAAGTCACCGGCGACCCCGTTGGACTTTAAAAGTCTCTACAGATATACTTAGACAAAATACCGAACGTTCGTATAAATTAATTGATGATATCATGAATCATAAGATAGGATCGTCGTTTTTTATCTTTACTGCAACGTATCTCAGTCACTTAAAGCGTTAATGAAAGCAAACGAGAAGTTACGCTTGAGAAATTTGTGTAATTGTTTTAAAACAGAGGCGAGGAACTTCTTCCTCCACCGTGAATATTAGTTCTCATTCTGTTTCGCAGTTTCTGTATCTTCCTTTAACTCTGGCAAACTACAGTAAAGAAAACAATTTATATGTATACATATACATATATATACCTGATGCGACTATCGTGGTCGCGACAGTCTCATGCAGTGGAGGGGATAGCGCTATGAAAGTAGGGGCACGTACCGCCAGTCAGCCACCTCTGTTTTAAAATATATACGATAAGTTATATTTCCTGCTATAACTTTTTCTCTACAAGTTATTATTGTTATTATTATTTTTCTTTGTAAAGTTTGATTCTCCTAGAAGCGTACGCTTGTCCCTGGAAAATCAAAAGGATCTCGCTTGATTCATGTAGCCTAACGAGCTTGACACGTCTGATTGCAGTGAGAGAGGTTACGTTGTCGGAGCTCAGGGACTCGATAGCGAGGTTACGAGAGAGAGTGAAGCTAGTATGCCGAACGAGGGGCTCTCCGCCGCCAAGGGTGCACTGGCTGAAAGACGGTATACCTCTGCACCCTCGCAGAGGCCTCAGGATTCAACACAAACGGTGAGTCTGCTTTCCAATTTGATTTTGCAGCGAGAGACGCGTGGGAAAAGAAAAAAAGAAATTATCCGGCTGACAAATGTGTGCGATTGTGTGCGTCAGCGGCGCACAGTTACGTTACACTGCAGCACAAAGATTCATATTTATCCTTTCGCTCGTTTTCTACGCGTGTCGTTAATTTTGAACAGGGCGCAATTAAAATGCAATTTTGCTCTCGCTTTAATTTTTATTAAAGTCTAAAAGATACTTGCGATCGTCGTCGACGAGAAATTCTACGCAAAAAAAAAAACGAGAAAGAGTGTGCCCCGATCGTTCTGAAATGCATCGCGGGTCACCGATGATCACCATGGCAATTACAGCGTTGAACAACAATTACATCGGGCAGTAAATGCGTCATTTTCCATCCGATGAGTTGCACTTTCCCCCCCTCTCTTTCTTTCGTCCCTCGGATAATCGAGCGTGCGCGTTATTTATCAACCCGACCCTCCTGGTATTTACCAGGAAAAAGTGACGGTACTGCGGTGAAAAGGAATTTCAATGGAGCCATTTCGCAGGGTAGGAGGGAAAAAAAAAAAAAAAACGCGACGCAAAAAAAAACCAACGAGGGTAATGCACGCGAGCGTTTCGCGTGCATCTGAAAAATCGTCGCGGGGGGTAACGACTTGTCGCGGGGTGAACGCGAAACTACGTTTCCCTCGTCCAGGAGGAAGAACAAGAGGCGGGCAGCACGCTTCTGACTCGTGGAACGAACTTTCGCGGCGGCCGAAATCGCGTAAACCGAAAGGTTTACGAAACGCTTGGCAAAACTTTCGGCTTTATAACCGGAATGGATAACGTACGACAAACTCCTGTTCGCCGCGCTAATTCGCGATTAACGAAATCGTTTCGTGTTTGGCACCGAACTGGTCTCGAACAACGACCCGCGCGAACTTTCGCCGCTCGTTTTCTCATCGTTCTTCATCGTGCCAGCCCCACTCCCGTCCCTTTTCGCACGATTCAACGGCCGTGCAGCTTCTAATATCGCTGCCAAGAATACTACTCGCGTGTGACATCGATTTCTGCGCCCCCTCTCCCCCCGTTTGGCGATCGCGTGCCACCGAGCAATCGATCGTAACGACGTTAATCGCCATTATTACGCTCGATTTCTTTTATTACCACTGTCGTGGCGTCCGAGGATTCGTTCTGGCTCGGCTTCTGCTTTCGTTGTAGATCGGTTCCGGATTCTGTTTCTGCTTCTTCCTTGATCCCTTCACTGCGTACGATGGATTGTAGCAAACGAAACTTTTTATCGATTCTATCTTCGTCTCTAGCTACCGTGTTTCATCTTGGTAGCTCTGCATCAGGCACGGTGCGTGCACGTTGGAACAAAATTAATTGACGGTCAGACAGATGGAGCCAAGACAATCGTGTTTGACGTGTTTGTTTAATTTGGTGAAACATTTCAGTGTTTGTTTATACACCGAGTTGACAAATAGAAGTAAAGTTCCCTTTGCCATGTCAGTAGATGGAGAATTATAATTTTCTTTAAAAATCTCAAGACAAGTGTTACATTTGTTCCAAAACTGGAATAATTAAATAACACTTTATGCAACAAAGAATTTACAAAATACTAATATATTAAAATTTATTTTGATAAATTGTATTAAAAAATATTAAAATATAATTGTAAAATATAATTGTATTAAAAAATATTAAAATATATTATAAAATAGAAGTAAATATCCCTTTGCCATATCAGTAGATGGAGAATTATAATTTTCTTTAAAAATCTCAAGACAAGTGTTATATTTGTTTCAAAACTGGAATAATTAAATGACACTTTATGCAACAAAGAATTTACAAAATACTAGTATATTAAAATTTATTTTGATAAATTGTATTAAAATAAAATATTAAAATATATTATAAAATAGAAAAAAATATTAAAATATTATATTAAACAATAATATATATTATAAAACTGAAAAATTTTATTAAAATACCGAATATTAAAAGTAAAATGTATCCCAAGACTTCTGAGCAGGAGCATATATGTAAAAATCCTCGAATAACTAGATCAACTTTTGTGAAATCTTAATAATCCACTCTTTCCCTGTCAGACTTTCCTTGCTCCAACGTTTTCTCGTTTAGAATCGTACGAAAATAACAAAGGTGACAAGACTGTCACCTACACACGTGGACGACACCTTATTTCTGGCCCAAAACATGAGTCACCGAACCAAACGATCAACCTGGCTCCGAGTAATTGACGATTCGTAAATTTCCGGCAGACGGGAAACGCGCGGTTCCGCGAGCCATTACCACGTCCCTGGCTGAGCTGTAATAATTTCAGACGGCCTTTCGGCCGGATTTACTATCCACGGAGGAACGATTATAGCGAGCGAGAAAGAGAGAGAGAGAGAGAGAGAAAAAGAGAGAAAGAGCCGGCCGGCCCTCTTCTCTGATGACTCAACTGTTGGCAAGACTCTCTTCTGGCCGCTTCTGCTGCTCGCTACTCTTTAAAGATGATGCATTCGTGTATCGCGCGTCATCGTTCTCGTGTCTATGCCTCTGTGTGTCGCCAGTCGCGACGCGAGAGCATATTGTAATGAAAACCGTCCACCTCTTTCTCCGTCTTTGCCCGTCACGCGAGTCCTCGCCGCCAGTTTCCACAATTTCGCTGTAAACGCGCCCGGCGCCGCGGTTCTTCATTCTCCTCAACGCAATCAACGTAAGCGTAAGCAACGCTATCTTCCGCGCGCGATATTGTACCAACTTGTTCTTTGAGCGGGCGCGCACACACACACACACACTCCGCTTGTTTCGACTGGCGAGGAAAAGAAAGGGAAATCGCGAGACGCGATATATTTTCGCTGTCGTCTGAAGAGAACCAGGCTGACTCGCTGCGAGTGCTCGCGACGAGCGTTTAATGGCCGTTTTGTAATTAGTTTTATGGCCGGCGGAACTGCTTCGGAACGGCGCGAGAATCGATGGGAAAGTGGCACTTGCCCCGCGGCGACACCATCGCGACACACCGCCGCCCCCTTTTTCTTTTTTTTTCTCTTAGAGAATTTTTAACGAACTACTCGCAAGAAGAAATTCATTTTTTATATTTTTCTGCACGTGTACAACGAAGGGGTTCGATGCGTGACGAAAGGGAAGGGAAAGAAAAAAAGAAGAGAGAGAGGAAAAAGCGTCACAAAGAGAAAGAGAGAGAGAGAGAGAGAGAGAGAGAGAGATCGTGTACGAGCGAGTGTAAATTTTTGTCGCGACAGAATTTTTTATACGACCACTCGTAATTAATTAATCGACAAAGAACGCACGAGAAAGAGTATTTTTCGATTCGACGATTACCGTTTAAATTACGTTCGATGAAATATTTTTAACGCAACAAAAAGGGCAACCGGACAATCGGCCGGGATGCAAAGGAGGGAAATAATTATACATTACAACGATATTTGTAAACTTGTTTTCCCTCCGATTTTCACACGTTGCAATAACTCGAAAAGCTGAAACTGTTCGGCAAGAGAACATTTCGATGCAAAAATTTGCTTTCGGATATAAATAATGTTACTAAAAATGCTCGAAGCTGAAATGATAAAAGTAATAGAAATATGGAAACCTATAACGTTGAATAATACGTTGAGATAATAATAATTAAATGAAAGTTGAAATAGAAACTTGAATGTCAAACAAAAATCTACTTTCTAGCTCCCATGGGAAAAGATTTGACCATCAACATGCATGCACCCGGCAAAAAATATTCGCTCACGCATCACGAATTTGTTAATATTCGCACTGCGTCAATGACACGTTAAGAAACTCGAAACTCGAGCGTTCATAATAAATTTACGGCCACTCAGAAGAAAACTCATTTTCCGTCGACGGAATTATTAGCGGCTGATGTTCGATCTAGTTCCACGTCGTTCATCGATATTTCGAGTTTTATTACCTCGCGCGGATTAATCAACAGCTCGTCGCAGGAAGTTGCAGCCCGCGGACTCGAAACTCTAATTTCTCGGTTCGTCGTGAATGGAGAGAGAGAAAGAGAGAGAGAGAGAGAGAGAGAGAGTGAGAAGGGGATGAAAATGTTTCGTGCCTCGCTCTACACGCGGGATCTTTTATTCAAGTGGTTTGATAAGTCGAGCAGATACGTTATGCCACGCTGTTGTGCGTGTAGAATGAATTATTAACACGCGAGTCACTCAGACGCCACGTTGATCAACTTTGTTAATTAAAATGACACAGGAGAGTGACAATTAAAAACGTTGCTTCCCGAAAATTATCCTTGCAATTTATAATCGTGGAAAATAAATTCTCGAGTAGGAGATTTGTTCTTTTTTTTTTTTTTTTAATGTTCAATAATAATTAGATTTCGATTATTCGGACGAATAATTAATGTACAGCTCGTGTAGACGACGCGCTGATGAACTTTGTTAATTAAAACGCGTAGAAGAACAAGCGACAATTGCAGATGTTATTTCCTGAAAATTTATAATTGCGTTGAGTAAATTTATGGAAACGAGAGTTCTTCTTTGAGATGTTTGTTTGATAATCGCTAGTCTAATGACAGATTCCTTTACGTTTGTGGAGAATTTGCACGAAATGGACGTAATAATAGTACTTATCGCAATTAGACTGCGAATTTAAATTCATGCTTCAATAAACGCGATTCAAGAGATGAAACAGAGATTCGTTTTCACTGTGAGGTATTATAACAAGTATATTTCACTTTCGTACTCTGCGTGCACTCTGCACTTTTGCATAAAAATTCACAGTGTACTTGTATCTTATAAATAATAGTTATAAAAGAGAATACGAATCTGCATAATTACAGTTATACAAAATTTTACCCAATAATCGATCAAGCGAACTCTTGCTGATTCGAACGTGAACTCACACGAACGAAAAAAATCACTAGCGACGTGGGAGAATCAATATGCTTCAATTATACAAACTCCAATTATAAAAACTATTTCCTCCCCAAAGTTTTACTATATATGCTTAGATAATACGAGAGATAT